ATATTCTACAAGGAAATGCTTGAAAAATAATTATGGTTTCATTCGAAATTATTGAAAGCTTAAAAGAAACGCTCTCAAATTTTATTACTATTAAGGACAAATCTTAGCGAATACTTTAGCCAAAAAGAAAATTTTTGTCAGATAATATAATCATAGTAGGATAATTCTTAAATTTCATGTAAAGTAAAGGGATGATATTATATAAATACACAGTTGGAAGACCATTTTTTATCTCAACAAAGTGAGAGGAGTTCAATAATTTTTTTAGCTATCCTAATTCATTTCCGTAAAACATTTTTTTTGGTTTGAAAAATAAAATTACTCTAATTATAAATATTTTTCCCGAAAGCTTAAGTTTTTGGAAAATCAGATCATTTTCTGTAATTATGATTTTAGCATCGAGAACCAAGGCTAAATAGACATTTTTCATTTTTCACTAAGTCGAGATAATATAAGATAATATTAAATTGCTTATAGGTACTAATATATTTATTAAACTTCTTTGCATTCATTTTAATTATTCTTGAACGGTTTTATCATTTCAATTACCCTTATTAATAAATAGTAAATTCATTGAAGAATTATACAATAAAAGAGATAATTTATCCATCTAAAAAAAGTCCAGATAAGGTTTATTGAAGTGTGCAAAAAAGTATGATATTTTTAATACCATACATAATTCATTATCTTTGTTGACAACATACAACCAAACTGAAAATTAAGAAGAAATAAGTAATCTGACATCAACTTAGGATAAAAATAATTTTTTAAATTAAGAGGGAGATATTAATCTAATAACAATATTAAAAAGATTGTTTAAAAATTGTGTAAATAAGCAATATATTCAAACAGCCTATTTATTCACTAAACATTATTGAATCTCTACTATTTTTCAGAAATTTAATATTTTTGAAAATTTAATTAAAACTCCTTTTGTTTTCTAATGAATTTAAAAGAAAAAACATCAATATAATTTGTTTGATGTATTTTATGTAATAAGCCATCCAGAAATTTTGACAAAAGGTGTGCTTTTGTTGACATTTGCAACATTTTAAATAAAAAGTTTTGAAATTATTATTTGAGAATTTCACTTAATAGTTATTCTAATTGTCGATCGATATTTCACATTTCTCAATAAAATCACTCACAATATGATAATGACGTTATAGTATTTCAGATATTTCCCAAAAATCTGAAAAAAATGTACGAAACAACAACCGTAAAAGATGGAAGAATTTAGAAGAGAGACAGATATATAGCTGAGCATAAAGGCGAAAAATCTAAAGAGAACATATAGGCATATCAAAAATTTCATATAGACTTACGAAATTAGAATCTTATGATTTACAACAATTTAATCATTAATTAGCCAATTTTGCTTTCTTTATTTTAATTTCATAGAAAGCAATAGTGTAAATAGATCTCATACCAAAACATAAACTAATTCTATTGAATTATCACAAAAAAGTTTTACAATAAATTATAAAATAAAATATCAATATATCCTTTATACCCAAAATCATAAATCCTAAAGATATATCTTTGTAATCTTAATATAACAGTTTTCATTTATACTCTGACCCAATTTAAATATAGAATTAGCATAAATTCAAGTTCTACGGCAATGATCGGGGATGGTATTTTTTAATGAGCTCAAACATATTGTTTGTATTCGAAAATAAAAAATTAATCATAAATTTTGTGATAATGTCAGAGATTGGGCATTCTGAGGGTATTCCTCTTGAGCCTTTCCTTAATGTGTAAGTAGAGGGAAATGTTTATTAAGATCTAGAGAGATCACAAAATGATAAAGGGGAAGAGAGAGAAATTTAAAGACAGAGGTACCCCCTAAAACCCGGTCAAGCCTAGTAGCTCGAAAGTGGATGATGAATCATGTGTCAATAGTTGGAACATCAATAACTAAAGCTTGTATTAGTTCAGGAAGGAGCTCTTGGGAATGAAATCCCACATTTGGATATTATAACAAGGAAAGAAAGGTCAGAAAATCTAAGAAGGTGATGGGCTTTTGATGGCACATCAAAGAGAGAAACAACAACTAATTAATGGTTAGTGCCATTCCGTTAATCTAGACAAAGAGGAGGGAAGATTTGGAGACATGGAATTCTTTAGTGGTGAGAATCTTCATTGGGACCTCCATTAGCCATAAATTAATGGGAATATTGGATCCTTCTAGAAAAATTAAAATTAAGACCACCTATTATTGGAGCGGATTTGAACTCTACACCAAGGAGAGAGAATGAATATTTCCATTTCTTATCGGATTTAGTCACAAGGGGTTGGAAAAATGGGAACTCGGAAGTGAAAAACAAAAATTTGGAAATTGTGTCAAAAACTGGTTATGATTTTATTAGATTAATTAAAATTATAGTATCTTATAGAATCTTTGGAATTAGCAAATGTTAAAAGAAAATTGGCTGCTTGGCAAGGCAAGGATAGTGCCTCTCATGGAATTAAGATTTATGGGGAAACTTCAAATGTAATTTACAGATAATATGAGGTACTAGCAGGCTGGCTTTATTAAGGGAAAAGGAACATAGTTGAATATAAGCTAAGTAATTGTTAACATTAAAGAAAAAAG